AAATAAGTACTCAGGGTTCGTTGGCACACATCATCCAGTCTAAAGTAAAACGTATTCGCTTGGAAGAGAAAGGTTGCTTTAGGAGAAATATATTAGATGTCAGCAGTATTCAAGACAATAAGTAATTCCTGAGTAAGAACTTAGTTGCCCTGGGTCGCTTAAGTAAAATTAAGGACTGATAATTGTGTCTTCCCACAATCAATGGCATCGTGAGGGCTAACATCTCATTGATGAAAAATCAACGAACAATCTTAAAAAACAGTAAGCGACCTATAGTGACTATTCCCTTATTCAATAAATCTAAGCAGTCGATAGATAAGTGAGAATCTGATCAAGCGGGTCTTCAGAGTATCCTGCATTGATTATTAAGATTCACGAAGACCTACTCGAAACGAAAAATAATTTTTTTCTCAATAAAACTGACTTGCAGAGCCTCCGTTGACAGGATGAGTCACATCGACTTCGATACCAGTGTCGCTGCTCACATCAACCTTGATGGAAATAGGACCCTTTCGACCAGTACTCAAATACTTTGAACAGTTGACAGGAAAAGCATGGCTGCCAAGATTGGGACCACTCAAATGCCTAGGCTCAGTCGCACTGGATGCAACATGTGAGGGGGCCCATTGCAAACGTGAGGTCGACGGAGTGGCTGAAGATGAATCAGATTGTGCATGAAATTGTTCTATCAGCTCTGACGAGGATGGAACTAGATTTTGATTCATAAAGGGTGTAGGAGTCAAAGGAGGTGTGTTGGTCAGCAGATTTAATCCGACTATACGAAGATGTGGCACTGCCGTGCCATTGATCCAGCGCTCTAACCACCTGGTATCGGAGTATATTTGTGTGTTACGAACTCGGTTATAGGCTTTCGAGTTAGCTACGATGAGACGTAAGTCATTGATAAATCCCTCGGGACCAGAGTATGCCTCGAAATCGACAAACGTACTGTCCGTGATGATGGACTGTCCGTTACGTAAGTGGAGTCGGCGTTTGATGGTGCCCAAGTCGACCGGCTGAGGCACAAAATTCAGGTAGTCAGGATAATCCTCTATGTTTACCGGATCTCGGAAAAAGAGAGACTGTGGTGATGCAAGCAGGTCTGTTAGGAGGCCGGAGCAAAGACTACGCCAGGTGTATCGGTGTGCTGGAGATCGCAGAGTGTGGCCGATATCGTCAGGCGGTACATCATCACTAGATCGACATTTGGCAAGAAACCCAAAAGAAGAAACGCTATGCTGGGTTTGTGAAGAAACGAGACTAGATACGGTTGAATGGCAAGAAATACAAAGAATGGGTCAGATTGAGATATCTATGTATAGTATCAATAATATCATTTATTCTTATTATATCCATCTCCATATCTGGATTCAAATCAACTTAGCAAGTTCCACATGTAGAGGTCAAGCATGTCGACATAGCTGGTAACTCTGCTAAGTCGCTTATTACTATAATATGTAATATAAGGATAGGGAATCGATCTAAGTTCCTCCTATAATAAAATAGCTAGATAGTTCCAATCTATAACGAACTAATGGATAAAAGACTGAGTAAGGCAATAAAGAATAGTCATACGAAGTCTACCTATTAGAAGCACCAACTAGAAGGCTCGAGCTCCCCAATAAGTTACATGAGTCCGAAAGGGCTTCGTTATCGCCAATGTCATCATCCGAAGCAGGAATGACGCGTCTTCGGCGATGGCGAAGTTGCGTGCCCTTCACACGATGCTGCGCATCCATAGATGCAATCGATGTAGTACAAAGGTGTCTCGACGTCCGAGAAGAATGGGAGGAAGAAGTCGTGGTAGTGGATGCTGAAGAAGGCGATGCGACACCAAACGACCGATTTCTGAGACGATCCGTAAATGTGGAAAGCGGATAAGCAATCCCATTCTCTACTTCATCCGTACCAAACATTTCCCTCTGTCTGTCCTCCATCTCTCTTTGCTCCTTTACTTCCTCAGTAGTTTTCCAATCTTCCTCTTCTGTTTGGTCATCCGGATACAAATCGGGATCCAGACTCAAAAACTGTCGATAATCTGAACAAACTTCAGGCTAAAGATACATGAAATTATGAAAGAAAGCATTATCTAGTTTCATAATATTTCGTTTTATTGAAAAAATGTTTGAATCTCGTGCTCTAAGAAACTTGATAATAGATCACATAAACCATAACAAACAAGGATTAAATTGCGAATTCGAAAATCGCTTAATGAAATTAAAGTATAGATCATTATTCCCGGACAAAAACAAGAGTTATAGTCTGGGAAACAATTATCAAATTGTTGCGAGTTTTACTAAAATAACATTACTTTATAGCAAGTAACAGCACATGCCTTTAAAAAAGTATTAGGAACAAAGCTCTTAGGCAGACCAAGGATCTACAAACTATAGGAGCAACATAATGAAATCAAATCCGAAGTGAACCAGCATAAATTTTAAAATAATGTAAAAATATAATTTACTCCGTATGGCTGTGACCATATTAAGACTTAAAATCTTTAAAAATCAAGGCTGAAAAACTTAATTCAAAATGTTTAGTTTAGCTGAATGAGACGATGGAAAGAAGCGAAGAACAAAACATGATTTAAATTAGCAAAATCCATAAATGTTATAGAAGGATATGAAGATCAAGATAGTAGAGCCAAGTCCACAATCCGATCTGGAAATTATCATGGATACTATGGACTCCGAACAAGGTGCATTCTTGACAATATGGCCAAGTTACGAAAAGATCAAAAAAATCTAAATTAAAGTTAATTAAATAGACTAGTTGATTACCCTAAAAGAAATGTATAAGTATAACAATATATATATATAATCTAAATCAAGGGAACTTGAAATATGGATTAAACTATTTATCATTTAGGAGATATGAATAATAATTCAGGGCTGTGAAAAAATAAGCTTTGATTTAAATAAACATGAAATTTTTACGATTGCAGAAACCATTATTTCCATTTCAATGCAAGGGTCTTTAAAATAATTTTATAAAAATGGTTGGATTAAACGGCTTTGAGCAGAACCTCTACATAACAGAAGTACGTTTATGAAAAGATCTATAAGAGAGATGAAGTGATATCTCAATTAAAAAGAAACGAAGACTTGAAGTCTCTCGTTAATCTTAAGATGGATGACGGTTGAATAAATCTATATGCAATTTAAATTAGCTGGCGAAGGCATCTAGGAGAATCCTCTTCTCTAGAAGCCTTTAAAACTGGCAGCCAATGCTTATGGAAAGCATTCGTCACAGAAGCGAAAGGTAACAATGAGTTAGTCCGAATCCAAACAAGAATGGTAAGCTAGAATGGCTAATATATAAAAAATATGTATGATAAAAAGATAATAAAATAATTCGGTAAAAAGAGGAAAACCTGTGATGGGCTCTTTTTTAAGAAAATCTTTTATTATAGGAAAGGTTACAACTCACGGGTCGTCTCTGGCGGTCTAATACGCAGACGAGTCCGAGGCGAGCGGCTAACCAGGCCTGACGAACAATGCGACTGCCGGCTTGGTTGTAGCGCAGCGCGTTGCTCGCCATGAGCTTCAGGTCAAATGCCAACGCAGCCGGTCGGCGGTAGAAACCATTGAGGAGGCGGGCGCGAATGAGGCATAAGTCCATGGGCATTGGATTAACAAGTAGGTAATCCGGATAGGCAGACAGCGAGACAGGCTCTTGAAAGGCGGCAAGAGCTGGCAAATGTAATAGCTATAGATATTGTCGGTGATGATAGTTAGTAGCGCAGTGGCGATTTTAGAGATTGATGTGTTAAATCCAAAGTAATTAACGAAAATTAGTGTGAAAGGGGGAAAATGAGAATGGTACTACAATAAATCCCGCAATCTATCTATGGATGCGTTAATATAAGTAAATGTATGTATATATATGCAATTAAATTGGACGATACCCTGAGTGTGCCTAAATGGCTATATATAAAAATCATACTTACAGCTCAAAGACTAAATGTAGTTGCAGGGAAATTGTAAGTGTCATTCAGAGGCAAATCGTTTAAGATAACTCCAGCATAATATACTAAAACATCAAACAACAAATAGTTTAAATTATCGGAAATATAGTCTCGCGAATATATTTAGCCAGGAGAAATCTTTAGCTTTCTTTTATTTATTATAGCTGCACGCTTGTATCCAGAAGTAAGGCGTTGCTAGCCTTGGGTTATTAATAAGGAGTCTGAAAATAAGGCAACAAATTATCGGCAAAAATGAAAATAAAGGAGCCATACCATAATCTTTAACTCGAACGGTTGTAAGTATGCATAAGTGAACTAATAGTATGAAATTGATTTCAAGCAGTTTAGTAGAATAAAATTACATTAAATCCGTTACATAACAAAGGTTTGCCAATTCTACAGAGCCAGTGTAGCCGCAATATTTTTAAGTCATAAAAGAAACTGAATGGAGGATGACGGTTACAAAAGCAGGAAAGACAATTACTTCATCGAATAGGCTTATTTCAAATCATTATGTGTAAAATGCAATTGGGATACATTGCCGCAATTCGTAGAGGAGATCGGAGAGCGATTCTTTCCCTATGTTGTGATCTTGTGTTTGAAGACTGCGTAATTGAAAATTGAAAGTAAAACTTAACTTTAACCAGAGAACAAATTTAAAAGGATTGGAGCAACAAGTGGGGCGTGCACCTATGACAATAAGTAATTAGGATAAAACGAGAGCCCCTTGATATCAATAGATATTAAAAGTACATTTAAAAGGATTAGGCAGAGTAAGGGATAGGAATAAGCACGTTATCACGTGATAGGAAAGTATGAGGATGATGGAATAGGGCTAACTTAATCAATACTAAAAGCGGTTGGTGAAAAATGAAAAGGAAATATCACATAAATCAAGAGCAAGCTATGAATAACGAGAAGTAGCCCGAATTATTAAAGTAAGCAAAACTTTAATTTGCGGTTTCTAAAAATCTTACTCTTAGTTTGTAATTTTCTCTATTCCTAAGTCAAACTACATTCCTATAAGATCCCTTCCTCTTGATGTTTTTCTGCTGAAGGGTGTTTTTTATATTAAGATATTCTCTGGTCTGAATAAAAATGAAATCTTATATTAAAATAAATTTTCAGACAAATGGCATGAAATCTGACCAACTAACTTGAGTAAAGCAGTCAAATAGACGCCTAATTTCGGATGCCAATCTTGAAGGCCAACAGGTATATGCTAATAGGCGACGATAAAGCTCATCGCCTAGAAGTATACTTTCCCTGGAGTTAGGCGTTACGAGCTTTTTCTCAACCGAGGGCAATCTCTTCTTGACTTCGCGATTTGGAGAGCTGCTTAGCATAAATGCATCAGGTGTAATTACTTGGTTGCATTTATTCTCAGCATACTCGTCAACTTCGTCCTCAT